CTCTCGTACCAACTGCGAATTCAACTCCTTTACGAATCCTGTCTGATGAAGCAGCTGACTCAATGTCACCGGAAACTACGCTACCTGGAATTTTGAAATAGATCCTAATACTGGTTTGACGAATGCTGAATGAGTTAATACGATTCCAATTCATGAGAGTCCAGAGACAAATACCGGTAGCGGTTGTACAAGTCCGGGAGGTGGATTGAGCAGTGCACCAAGTAGCCTTATTACACCAACGATTTGGAGTACAAGAGACTGTGATGCGTATGCTACTAGGTCTGAACGAAGAATATATGAAAGGAGACGCAAGATGAGGAAGGGTTGGGTCTATTTTTCTGAAAATAGATCAGAGTATACAACCCCGGATGGGAAAACACGCTGGCAGTGCTCACACTATATGTTTTCTTCCCCAAGCCATTTAACCATGTACCCCAGCTTGGATTCCGTCTAGCACCCTCTAACTTCCAAACTCCATAATTTCCATTCAGTGTTTACGAAACAAATACAAATATGTTAGGTCTATCAAATGCGATAACGATTACCTTTTCTGACTCTTCAACAAAGACTATAACTGAGTACTTGTGTGAAGTACTCAAGAGAGGCCAGGATGGCCCAATCGCACACAAACAAGGCTAATTCTTGATTGAAACTGCTTCAGGAAAGACAGGGCCACAGGTAGCCTGTAGGAGTAACCTCGTACAGGATCTACCTCTTCGCTGAATAGTAGAAAACCATATCATCGGCCAACAGGTCGAGCAGAGTTCCATTCGAGTTCTTCTCAGAAACTTGATAGATTGTATAAGTGTGATTCGTTGTCTGTAGTATTTTGTTTATGATCACTGAATTGCAAGGAGCAGCAAGTTAAACAAGAGCGCAGACATCACTTGAATTACAAAGAATGCCAGATATACGAAGATGCCCGCGCTCTTGCAAGATCTGCCAATACGATAAACAACTGGATCCAGGATCTGTTTTACCGCAGCCAGAAGGACCTAACTTGTTTGTTCAAGCGGACTGAAAGCAAAATAAATTTTAGATTTGACTTATGGACATCAGCAAACTACCATGCGTTCCTTGGTGTTGTTGCACCTTGGCTTCATCCGAACTTCAAATTACCAAGTGCCGTAATTGGGGTGTACAGAATCTATGGACCGCATACTAGGGAGAATCAGGCAAACTGATATTTGAATATTATGAAGCGTGACAATATAAATAAAAAGATAGGCTATTTTACCTTAGAAAATGCGAGCAATAATGGGATGGCAATGCAGCATATAAAACAATACCTAGACGAGTATGGAATCCCCTTTGATCCCATCGCGTGACACCTACCGTGTTTTGGACATGTCATTATTGATGTGGTTAAGGCTTTCCTTTAAAATACTGATTCGGAGTCCCCTGAGGTGACGATTTTCTCTTATCACTAGTTACAGCATAAGATACGGGAATTGGGAGCAGGGTGACGCAAGGTGCCTCTTGGCAAGCTACACAACATCATCCTCCGGATCTCCCTGTCCTTACAGAGTTGTAACCACATTGCCGAGAAAGCCAAACAGGGCCATATACGCGGAGCGAAGGCATTATCACTAATATATGAGGTTAGTAGACGGTAGGGTGGTAATTATGACTCCCATTTACTTGCACTCAAACTACGCGATCCGCTTGAAGAGTTTATTACTTTGGTGATATGCAGAAATGAGAGCCAGGACCAGCTACATTCAAGCTCCTCTTACTCTCTTAGTCTTGATGAGTTAACCACTACCGACTGGGATATCCAGAAGGAAATCATGGATATTTTACAACCCTTCTGGAAGTGGCAGTTAATTCTACAAGCCAAAGAGCACTTTGGTAAACAGGACGACATCATTCCTGCCATGAAGGACGTGCTTAACTAGCTAGAAACCTTTCGAGATCACGAGACAGAGTATATTTGTACTTCAGTCAATACTGCCTGGAGTGTTTTAAACAGCTAAGCATATTCCTGTCCTTCATTTCATGGATTGAATTCTCGCTCTCTATCCCATATTCCCTTGTAATATAAATTTAATATGCACTAGGTACTACGGCTTGACCAACCATGTCCCGGTACACATTTTGGCTATTAGCTACGTTCTGGAAATGAAATACAAATATTTTAAGAATAAATTGGAGGAACGTCCGGACTAGATTGGAAATGAGAAAAATATGGTATAAAGGGTTTAGAATGAGGAGTATAAGTGATTGACAACAGGCCAGCAAGAAAAGCTTCTCCGGATTGCGCCTACAATCAGTGAAGTCTCTGGACCAAGTAGTAGTCCAGCCAACATAACGGAGCTTGGAAGGCTACAGAATTGGAAGAGAAAAAAGAGGTAAACTTTTAAACAACAAAGGATTACGTCAGCGATTCAGACAATATTGACTTAGGCAAGGCAAAGATGTAAAGATAAAATTTCAATATCCTAACAGGAGAAGTATTCTCGCAAAGAACAACGATAGGTAATAAGAAACGGGAAAGACTGATATGACCCAAATGCGAGTAACGGAGGAAAGAGAGACAGATTGGATAACGAACGAAAACAACTATCAAGGAAAAACAAGCTGCCTTTTATCCTTCCCTAGATCATACTAATCTGCTTCCACATACTTCCAGCGTATGCCGTGTTCTCCATCACACTCAGTTTTACTATCGCCCATTTGTGCCGCCCCGGCCGAGGGTAAGTGAACTTGACCGAGGATATTCGGTATTTCCATGATAGGGGTAGCCCCCTAACATGGAGTCGTCGCAGGTATCGTCGCAGATGTTGTCGCATATGTTGTCGCATATTTCGTTTGATGTGTAGGACTAACTAGTAGTCAAACATAGAGGCGTCGGAGTAGTTGATACCAAGAGGGTTAGGGTTGTGAAGTCGTTGCCATAGGGGAAACATGCGGTGAGCAGCCAAGAAACACTTCTGTCCAACATAAACACTATTTGGTGATGGGTGCGATGGGTTCTATGGACATTTGGAGTGTGCGAAACAGATGATGAGTTGTACACCGGACCTCTACCCTACTGGATTGACCATATCAACGATATACGTGAAAAGAATCTTGCCCAAATAGGTATATATATTTTTACGATTCTCGCTATGTCCGGTACCAAGAAAGATTCTTCAGCAGGTAAGCCTTTTCGAACTTGCTAATACCTTAGTTATTCCTGCTCGCGTGGCATATCAGATATATATTCAGTTAAACTTCTACTTACTACCTCAAGATTAATTTCTATAGAACGAAGCTCCTCGTAACCAATCGGCGAAACCGCCTAGGTGATGAGGTAATTGAGGCATTTGAGTGTCTCAAGTCATGGGCTGCTTCGGGTATTGTGTATGGGGGAATAAACTCGGATATCAATTGATGGAGAGCAAATTGAAGGCATGAGAACTTTATTCTTTGGGTCTTCATTCTTCCTCAGTTGTTTGAAGTTATTCTATTTTACTCTTTGTTCCTTCTATCATACTATTTGTTTTATATCCGAAAACATGCCTCCACGGCATTTCTCCTATAATCCCAAATGATGGGTCTCCTGTGTAACTGCTTGGATGGATACATAAACCACAAGCACATTATTTCTATGTTCGGTAGCACTGTGATACGAGAATATTGGGCAGAGCAAACATTGCTGTGCTGGGCATAAAACATTTTCAACAGGGGACGGCGGGGCAACGGTCCTTGTCAGTAGTCCGGGGGTCACGCTTTGAAAAAGACTGGACGGGACCAGCGAATGCCGTCCACCATCGGCCGACGTTAGGACGGACGGACTCCCCCGTTGCGAACACTGTTGACCGCTCTGGTGGTATGGAGGGCTCGGTCCCTAGGCAGAGCTACAGAATGTCAAAACCTGTCTTTGAAGAGACAAAATACGAAGTGTAAACACAACCACGACCTCGTACAATACTCGTACAATACCGGTCAAGGCGATCCCCAATATAACAAACCTTATCCTTACCCATCGAAATATCGCCGACAATGCCTTCGAATAAGCCCTCCCAGTGCCAATACCACCTACGCTTCTACACGCCAAATATTTTCAATTTAACTAGCATGAGTAATTTATTGTGATGGCAGGTTACCGTCCATACAGCATCTCGGTTTTCCCCCTAACACTTGCTAATATGATAAGTTATATCCCTTTTGCTAACTGCACAATGCCACGGGATCAGTCTCTACCCAAACATTGAGAGGCACGAAGCCACCACCGGCGGCACTACTCAGTACCTGCCCCACCTCTGGGAGTACATCCTTTGCCGCTATACCGGTATTCATGACTATTTGGTTCCGTGGGTTCCTAACTCTATGCCAGGTTCATAGCACCTGCAGAAGATAGATCCTGGCTTCACTCCTTGTGCCTGCTGCTTGTGAATTGCACTCTAGCCATCGGGTCTCTCGAGTTGACGCCAATTCTGCTATCGTTGTAGTGCAAGAGCCTTATGCCTGCTTGGCATCTCCTTGTTGCCGCTCCAGGTGCCAAAGTTACATTTAACAATGGTACGCGTAGTTCACGACACCCCCCCTCAGAATTAACAGCAACCCCAGGCTTGTTCACAAGTGGTTCTAAGTACCTGTGAAGTTGAGGGAGAACCGAAATCTCCTTTATGATATCATCCTGAAGAAAAAAAACCCACTTTGGTTGTGACACTTCAAATCTGTTTCCCCCATCTCGGAGGAAAAGGTTCTAAAAGGAGAATACCTACCCATCTCACAGGGACTTTGCAATTTGCTCACCCAACATTACCCTTTCATTCTCGCTTGCCGGAAGCTGTTCCAACCCAATGCTAAAAAAGCATGAACCCTGGAAAGGCATGTCTAATATCCTGGATATCCAGGCCTCATACGTTTGTTTATCCACGTGATTTAGTGTGGTACCTCGGTAAATAGGAACAGGAACCTGCCTCCTCCCAAGCACAATTGTCCCCAACCTTTCCCCCTTCCACCCCCACCATCCCTAATGCCCCCAGGTTCATCCCACACAAATTGAAAAAATGTCTACTTCCTCCACTCAGCGGGAAAACTTCACCCACCCAGAATACCATTACCTGGACCTGGTCCGTAACATGCTAACCAACGGCGAGCAACGACCAGACAAGCGCAGTACAATACCCCTTCTAAACTCACTGACGAAAAAAAGAAAAAACACAACCTGACAAAACCCCACCAAATAAATAGAACAGGAGCCGGCACAACCTCCCTCTTCGCAACCCCCACAGCCCCGCCTCAACCTGAGAAACCACACACCCCTGTCCTGAGTACAAAGCACGTATTCCAGAAAGTCATCCTTTACGAGCTCTTCTGGTTCATTTCGGGCTCGACCAACAACGTCCCGGTCTCGGCCGTGGGCGCGAAGATCTTGGAGGGTGACGGGTCGCGCGCTTACCTGGACTGCATTGGGCTGACGGAGCGCGCACAGAGAGACCTGGGCCCCGTCTACGGATTTCAGTTGCGGCACATTGGCGCAAAGTACGTCGACTGCCACATGGGCTACCCCGTCCAGTGTGTGGATCAGCTCGCCGACGTCATACACAAGCTCAGAAACATCACCTCCGACCGCATCATCATGTGCGCATGGAATCCGACAGATCTGGCGAAGATGGCGTTGCCGCAGTGTCACATGTTTGCCAATTCTATGTCTTGTACAAGGATGGTAAAGGTGAGGGGGCGTTGTGTTGCGTGTTGTATCAGAGGAGCTGTGATATGGGGCTTGGTGTCCCGTTTAATATCGCTTCGTCCAGGCTCCTCACTATAATGATTGCGCATGTGTGTGGCCTGGAGCCTGGGGAGTTTAGAGACACTATGGGGGATGAAAATGGTTATGCCGATCGTGAGGATACATTGAAGGTGCAGTTGGAGAGGGCGCCTAGGGAGCTCCCTACTGCCAAGATCAATAGGCAAGTGGATGATATTGATGACTTCAAATCTGAGGACTTTAAACGCGTAGGGCATGATCCACATCCTGGTATCAAAATGAATCCGGCTGTATGAAGAGGAAGCAACTCTGGCCGGGTCGTAATTAATGATACTTGATACTATGTTTTTCGTATTAACATCGGCATTGGACAAAAGAAAGGGCTTTGGGAAGCCTGAGTGGAACCGGAGGCCTGAGTAAGGTAGCGTGAAGGGAAAAAGCAAAGACTCCTGATACGCCAACAGGAAAAAACCAAGGAGAAAAAGATGAAAAATACCACCATAAATCCTGATGGATACCCGAATCCTACAAAGGAAATCAGTACCAGAGGTGCCGGAGTGGAGACATGCAATCCGTTCCCCATATTAGTAACCAGATTTCGTTAAACCCACTGTAGTAAGAAAGCAAGACCAAAACTTAATTCTTATGGTAGCTTATCCACGTTCTTCACTCCAACACACCGCTCCCTCCGACATCTAGGCATCCTCTCTCTGACAACCCTCCCGCCACCACAGCCAGGAGAACTGCCCATCCTCCAATCCCCCGCAGCCCTCTCCCCACCCCCACCACTACCTCCAGCATTTCTACTCCCACTACAACTTTCATCATCATCCTCAATTTCAAATCCCAGCCTCCGCGTCAGCTCAATCAAATCTCGCGTCACGAAATCATGTGCCTTGGCAGTCCACTTCCTCATAAACCGCTCAATCACCGCACCGATATTTTCCAAACCCGCACCAGTCCTCAGGGCAAGCTCCATGAGCGTTTTTGTAATGGGTCTTCTGCGTGTAGTACCACACCCGAATCACCTCTAGAGCCTCCGAAGGCACCAACACCGGGAGTCATTCCTCTAAATACTCCAGCTTCGTCATCGGATGGTGGGGTGCCGAAGCCGGTGGTCTAATTAGTAAACACGCTCTCTATTCGCCAACGGGATGGAAAGTGTGAGAGTTTTCGGTAAGCGAGGCGGGCTATCTCGACTTGGCCAATGTCGCCTATCACTACGTAGGATTCGTGTCGGTAACCGCACTCTTCAGCAATGACCTCCTCTGCCTGTGTGGGATTTCCCTGAGGGGGTGGTAGGTTTTCTTGCTGGTCGCGAGTGAGGTCTAGGTTCATCAGGTCCACGGGTTTCCCTTTAACACCGCAGTCTTCAACCGGTAGCAGGATGATTTTATGCCGTGGAAGGTTGTCTTTGGCCACATTCCGTTCTCATGGCGTAGGGCGCTGGCGTGAATGTTATACATAATCACTAGGCCCTCGCCTGCATAGGTGGGTTTGACATGATTGACGTAGGCCAATGCGTCCCTTTCGCTCTCGGGCGCGGGGTTGGCTCTGGGGTCCGGGGAAGTAGATCTTTTGTAAGAGTTCTTTCGACCCCTGGTGCTATTCTGTCACCCAGGCTCGCCGAGGACGGACCCCTGAGCGGAACGAGAAGGTGCATCACCACCACCACTGCCACCAGAAACTCCTAAATAGTCAGCCACTGTGATTGCAATTCCCCCCAGCCAGCCTCCCGAACTATGGCTCCTCCTTCCTCCATTACCCGGTGCCGTCATTCTATCCGTTACAAATTTCCTCCGCCAAATAGCCGCCGATTCGTGCGGTTGCATTGGGGGAGGATCAAACGTAGCGACTAGCACATTGCTGCCCAGAGCTGAACTTGCCAGACCCTATAGAGAACTCCATTGAACGCCCGATCCATTACCCACGCTATCAACACTTCCTCCACCATTTGTTGCTCCTATGGTCGCTATCATTGCGGTCATACTCCCCTTACTCTCCTGAAGGTCCAAAGTTCGAGATGGGTGCTTTGCAGGTAACGGTTAGTGGGGCGTGTTCGCGGCGGATACAACGGAAGTGGGGAGAGAGGATGGGAATGAAGTCGAGTTTATCCGGCTGAACGTAGTAGTGGTGGAGATAAATGCATGTATGATAAAATTCAACTATTACCCGTAGTTTTGTTAATCGTATTATTGAGACGTGAAGGATGAACTTGCGTATGTGGGATGATGGTTTGATTTGGGTCGCTAGTGGTGGGAGGGTAGGTGGGGAGCAGTGATAGCGGCGCCGGGAGCGGCAAACACTGGTGGCACCGGTAATGTGAGACGTTTAAAAGGTTGGTATGTATCACAGATATGGCTTGGCTCGCCTTTGCTCACTCGATGTGGGTTTTTTAACCAGCTCAAAAAAAGGTTTCAAGCTATGTATCATACAACTACACCACGACACAGCAAGTAAAACTAATAAATATTCCCCCATAAACCAAAACGCTGCAAAATCCGACCCGGCCCGGCTTTACCTGGTGCTGAAAAACTCGACTGGACGGCCCCGCCCATTCACAACCACCGTCGGACTGTCCGCTCCGGATAGCTGCGTTTCTTCTTTCTCGCTCAGAACTTCCTACACTTATCTTTGACCGTTTCCTTTCTGCTACACTCAATTTACACCCTTTCCACAATTCTCTCGCACTCAACATCTCTAGCCGGTTTTTTCTTTTCTCTTACAATACCCGACCACTGCCGTCTCCGCAACGATACATGTCAATGTGACAAATAGGCAGGTTCTCCAAACTCGTCTATTGTATCCCTCTAATCCTCACACACAACCACTCTACCCCTATGAGAAGAATGCTTCCCAAGTGTAAAGCTAACCAGCGTAATTAATCTTCCTACTCTTGGTAATAGGTGTGAAATTACCAGTAGTGGTATGAGCAGCATCCACTTCTCTAGGGCCCCGAAACCAGCGGCGTGGACGGACTCGAGTTGTCTAAGGCCTGCCTATCAGAAAACAGGCGACAGAGAAAAACAAAATAGAGATATGTGTTGAAACGTATAGCCTAAGCCATTAATTCATTGTTGTTTCACTTTTATCCCTCTGCCTTCCTTCCTGTTTCATACTAGTGTTTTTGTAATACCGCCTGATGCACTTCTGTTACCACACTACTACTATCGTATATTGTGTGGAGGAAAGGTTTTTCTAGCTGCATTTCATATTTCACACATATTGCAGGTTAAAAGCTGTATCTTTTTCCTACTTGTTTTGTTGAGTTGTTAGTCTGCGACTGTCTTCCACCTCTTGCTTTGTTCTCTTGTCCCTCTAGTCTTAATTCAATATTCGGGGTTCCGAATGGTCCGACTGGTCTGGCTTGAAGGCAGGACCAGACTTGTTATACCAAATCTGTATTGCAAATAACTGTTTGCCAAATACCTCTAGATTCATATTTTCCAAATACATTTTGTAAAAGTATTCTGTCAAACACCTGTAAATATATAGAATTTATAATTTGTAACCCTCTATTCTGTATATAATTAATTTATAATATGGTTTTGTATCTACTATAAACTCTTTTCAAAATCTTTTTCTTACATTTTGAAAATACACAATATCTTCTCCTAATCCAATGAGTATCTTTCTTCAATTATGAATGATGATATACCACTGATATCAGAAACTATTCAAATTGAGAAAATTGTGTTGCCAACTATCATGGCACTCACCACCTTACAAGCCAAATTATGCCATTTGCCTCTTTGAATATGCCAATACTAAAGTAGTCCTCAAGGCTCAGGAGTTAAATCTTAACGACTTAATTACAATTCAGAATCAGATACTATGAGAGCAGATATTCATTGATGTTAATAATGAGTGATAATTATCATTAATCTAATCTAATTACCATGTTAATATAAATTGCCTTGGACTGGTTTGGAATTTCCAAAAACAGGTTGTCTAAAACCTGATTTGTAAATTATATTTTCAATTGAGAGTGAGCCAAACACCTCTATCAATTCAAAATGCATTTTGGGATTGAACGCCATTTACAACGGAGGAACAGCGGGAGCGAAACATCATCTGAGATTTAGAGGAAACTTGAATGTTTGCAGTTCACTGGGTATGCTTCAAATACAACATGACCATTCAGGGCTTGCTAATAATGTGGGAGACATGATTATCTACCAGCCTAAATAAGAGGTAAAACTCTCAAATTCTGAGGGTGTACAGTCATGTCTGGAGACTCTTCCCATTCCTGCCCAGTAACCGTCCTACAATGACATCCAATTACTCTAAATTCAATGGAAAGGTTGATACTTAGATGAAGGAAAAGATAATAGTATAGCTAGTAGAAGATAGCAACAAATTATTACCATTTTGTATGGTCTCCATTTGCATCCTGTACAGTGAACATTCTCTCAGGTATTCTATTTATTAATCTCTCCAAAATCTCTGGAGGAATTAATCACCACTCCTCCTTTCCTCCTCAAGCAATTCAGCAGTACTGTGAGGCCTTCTCTCTAGTTGAAACAATTGCTTCTTAGGGAATCTTTTAACTAGTGCTCAGGTATTCACAATGGCGTTGAGATCTGGTTACTTGTGTGGCCAAGGTAGCTTTTTTGTAACCACAGTCAGCCTCCAATTATCGATTTTCCTCTCTACCATACCAAGAGAAATTGTCTGCAGCTAAGTAGATATTGACAAAAGGCCTATCCAGACCTTGTTTAAAAGGGATGAGGTATGGCTGGTGGATTTCAGTTGCATATTGGTCGGAACTGACCAGGTTTGTCTCTCCCTTTCTGGTCCTATCTTCCTCTCCCCTCCTCCTCACAAGAATCAACTCTATCCTGCCACACTTCATGATTGCAGTATTGACACCAATACTAGTCCTCACAGACTTCAGGCTCTGGGTCCAGCTTTTTTCTTCCAATTTTTCCGCAGGTCAAACTCTTACCTTTTTGCCAGTTAGGATATCGTACATAATTGTAGCTTTATTCATAAAAACAACCTAATTCTATGCTATCTTCCAATTGTTCCTTCTCCTTGCAAAATCCCTTGTGTTCTTCTTTTGTTTTTTTCTCCAGAGAAGCTTTTTTTTTTTTTTGGGGTATCAGAAGCTTAAAACCCGGTTCCGGAATAAACATATCAAAATTGGTGAATCATAGACGAATATTCACTTTTGCCGTAATGTCGTCTAATGCTAAACGAGTTTTGGCATCGATAGATGACTCAACTCTCATTCCATTTACCACTCTAATCATAGTTCATCTTCTACCTCATTTTACGTAATGAGTGTTACCAC